GTCTCTCCATCCTCCTTCCTTAGAACATTCTGGCTATACATCCTACCAGACTAATTTGGTCATTTTTCTTGAAGTCAACGATATATTCAATTTTCTTTGCCAGCACCACAATTTGAATGCATCATTTCTTCTGCTTTTGTCATTGTCCAGTGTTTGCATGCATGTGAGGCATTTGAGGAGACTATGGCTTGGATTATGCACAATTTAGTCACCAAAGTAACATCTTCGTGTTTTGAGAAATTAAAAAGGTCTTTTGCAGCAGATTTGCCTATTGTATGTAAAATATCATTTGATTTCTTGATTACTGCTTTTGCATCAGCACGTTAAGTGTTCTGGAATTCCTGTTCTTTGTCATGTTATTCTTAATTTGGTATGATCTACAAGACATCATGATCTGTATCATCGAATGCCTTTGAGTAATTATCAAAATACAGATAAGTATCTCTCTAGTATTCTCTATTCTCTGCCAACATCCACTTGGCATCAGCAGTGATATCCATCATTCTGTGTCCACTTCTGATTCCGACTTGAACTTTTGGTAGTTCTCTATTGATGTATAGCTGTAACCATTTAAAAATGATCTTCATCAAAATCTTATTTGCATGCGTTCTTAATGACATTGTTCTATAATTTCTGAATTCTGTTGGGTCACCTTTCTTTGGAATGCCCACAAATATGGGTTTCTCCCAATTAGTTGGTCAGATAGATGTCTTCTGAATTTCTTTATGTAGCTAGTTAACACAGCATTGTATCATTTGTTTAATGATTGGAATTAATTCTTGGAACCTTGATTTTTGCCTATGCTTTCAGTGCAGCTTGAATTTTTCCTATCACATGCTACTTCTGAACTGGTTGAATGTTGACTAATTGTTTTTGGTACAGTGATTGTTTACTCCTTCTATAATTTTTTTTTTTTTTTTGAATCACAGTGTTTGAATTTATTTATTGTATGTATGTGTTCTTTTTTTCAAACTTTTTATTGTGAATTGAATGAAGATTTACAGAGCAGATTATTTGTTTTATCTTAACAATTGTAATTCCCTCCATGTAATAGCAGTTATTATTCTTCCTCCCTGTGGTTCCTATTTCTAGTCCACCCTCTTTCCCAACACCTTTGAACCTTGTCCCCAGGTAAATATTGCTCTTTTGATGTTGAATGGTTGACCATTCCATAGTAAGCATACCTCACTAGTGTTGTTGTCCCCCTTATATACCTGTCCACTGTTTGGTTGAAAATTGGGCCTTGAGGGTGAGTTCTGTTCCAGACCTGAAGGGTGGTGGAAGGCCATAGTCTTGCGTCCCTCCAGTCTTTTTCTGAGCAGTAAACCTAATCTTTTTTATAACTGAGTTTTGTTTCACATTGTGTCTGACCTCTACAGGATCTTCTAATAGGATCCTTTTTAGAGCAGTTGGTAGTACGGCACCATTAGTTCTTGTCATCTTTGGAGTCATGGAGACAGATGTTCACATGTTTCATTAGTCCGTTGAACTAATTGATTCCAAACATCTTCAGTTTTTATTAGTCTTCTTTCTTTAGCACATGGAGAGTTGTTGCGCTTTAGATGACTGCTCATGAGTGTTTAAGGTTCCAAGTACTACTCACCAAAGTAGGATTTAGAACACTGTCAATTTGTGGACTTTTATGCCAAATGACCATGTGGTCTCCTGAGACTATGGTCCTGAGGCCTCAGGCCCAGCCACTCGCTGCCTTAAGGTGTTTGGTAATGTCTAAGAAGTTTTCATCATCATTTTGTTTCCTGTGTGTTCCACCACACTCATAGTTGTGTTTCAGCAAAGGTAAATATCCATGTTCAAATGTGTTCTGTTAAACCCTTACATATTTGTGGGTATACGTCCACTCTCTTTCCCATACCCATTCAACCTGTGTATCTGTCCATGCATCTACCTGTACAATATTTGTTGCAGGGTTGTATATATAACAGTGTTTACCTAGTCTGTCCACTTTAATCTCTGCATTTCTCCCTTTGTCTTCACCTGTCTTCATCATTCTTCTGCCAACCTCCCTTTTGTATATTGCCTTCACTGCCACCCAAGTTAACATATGTCTAGCCTCTAGTGAATTACTCTCATTTTCTCCAACCTTGGTATCCATTAAAGCATGTTTCTTTTAACATGAAAACCTTTTCTTGAGTTTTAATAATAGTAGTTTCATAAAATATTTGTCTTTTTGTGATTGACTAATTTTGCTCAGTATAATGTCCTACAGATTCAACCATGTTTTGAGGAGTTTTACAGATTGATCATTATTCTTCAGTGTTGTGTAATATTCACATTTTTGAATGCACCAAAGTCTGCATTTCCATCTTCCATTGCTTTCACCTTCTTTTGATGCTTCTTGAATTATTTCACTTTTTGCCCATGCAGTCCTGCAGTATTGTCACTTAAGGCTTGAATTTTCTCTTTAGTTCTTTCATCTTGAGAAATGCCAATCATCTGCTTCTCTTTGGTTTTCTAATTCTTGTGTCAGTGTAGAATTCATCATAAGAAAGTATACATATGATTTATTCTGGTGTGGTGTTATAGGATCAGTACTGGACTGTGAACCACAAGGTTGGCGGTTCAAACCTACCAGCAGCTCCTCGGAAATCCTGTACAGGGTTGCTATAGGTTGGAATCGATTTGACAGCACTTAACAACAGCAACATAGCTTATAAAAGTTTTTTCCAAGCAAGATGCAGAAATTAGAAGGCATAAAGGAAAATATGGATGAACTAAGGAGCTCTGGTAGCGTAGTGGTTATGAATCGGGCTGCGAACCTTAAGGTCAGCGGTTCGAAACTACCAGTCGCTCCGCGGGAGAAAGATGAGGCTTTCTACTCCCGTAAAGATTTACACCCTCGGAAACCCTGTACAGGGTCGCTATGGGTCGGAAACGACTTGACGGCACTTAACAACAACAACAACAAATACTGCATAAAAGTTAAAAATTACTGACAAAATATATAAACAAAGTTAAACAGCAGGAAAAGTAATTGTAACATATGTAAACCAAAAGAGATTAAGTTTTATATATATATACATATATATATAGTTAAATACCATGGAGTTGGTTCTGACTCCTCATAATGACCCTGCACAGGGTTTCCGAGGCTGCAGATCTTTACGGGAGCAGAAAGCCTCATCTTTCTCCTGCGAATCAGCTGGTAGTACTGAAGTGTCGACCTTGAAGTTAGCAGCCCAATTCGTAACCACTACGCTACCAGAGCTCTATATATACATATATATATATATATGGAGTTCTGGTGTGGCACTGTGGGTTAATGCGTGGACTGCAAAGCCGTTTGAACTGCAAGGTCGACGGTTCAAGCTCACCAGTCACTCTTCAGAAACCCTGTATAGGGTCACTATGGGTTGGATCCAACTTGGCGGCACTTAACAACAACATATATATCCATCCAGCAAGGATATTTATATAAAAATATCTCTTGTGTTTGGTTGATTTTTTCTAATGATAACCTCGTGTGTGTCACAGTAGAATTGCTCCATAGGGTATTCAGTGCATTTAAAAAAAAAAAGATTGCCAGACCTTTCTTTTGACAGGATTTAACCCTCCAACTTTTCCATTAGCAGCCAAGTATGCTAACCATTTGTCGCACTCTGGGGCTTTTAGAATATATAAAGAGTTTCTTTAAATTATAAAAGAGAAATACTCTTTTAAAAAAATGGACAGTGCACATGAATAGGAAATCCATAGATATTTTAGCTCACAAACATTAAAATATAATCCCAGTCTCTTAATCTGAGAAGTACAAATTAAAATGGCATTTTTAATTTGTCAATTATGTAAATAACCAGTGTTAGCAGTATGTGGAGAGAACAGGTCTGTCTGTCATGCATTGTTAATTTGAGTGTAAATTGCTGCTGTCATTTTGGAGATCAGTTTGGCAGTTTCAAAATTACCCTGCCCAGTAGTTTTGCTTTTAGGAACCTTATATATGTTTTTTTAAAAAATCAGTATTATTATCTAAATGATGTCTGTAAGAATGTTTGTTGCACCACTGAAGTAACTAAAGATTGTTAAGTTATGTTGTTGTTGTTGCTGTTATGTGCTGTGGAGTCGGTTCCGACTCACAGCGACCCTGTACAGGGTCTGTAAATCTTTACGGAAGCAGAAAGCCTCATCTTTCTCCCGCGGAACAGCTAGTAGTTTCAAACTGCTGACCCTGAGGTTCACAGCCCAATTTGTAACCACTACGAGCAATAAGAATGTATTTTTTAAATTATGATGTATTCATATCATGTTATACTATGTGGCAATTTAGAAGAATGAAGTGGTTCTATATGTTGCTGTTGTTAAGTGCTGTTGAGTCGGTTCCAACCCACAGTGACCCTGTGTAGGGTTTCCGAGGAGCAGATGATGAGTTTGAACTGCCGACCTTGCAGTTCAAATAGCTTTGCAGTCTGGCCCATTAACCCACAGCACCGCACCAGGACTCTATATAGGCAGACAGAATAATCTTCAGGATATATTTTTAACTTAAAAAAGTTATATAATAGCATATATTGTTGTTAAGTGCTGTTGAGTCGATTCCGACCCTAGCGACCCTGTATAGGGTTTCTAAGGAGCAGCTGGTGAGCTTGAACCACTGACCTTACAGTTCAAACGACTTTGCAGTCTGACGCATTACCCCACAGTGCCACACCAGGACTCCAATAGCATATAAAAAATAGCATATATAGAAGGCATCAATATATACAAAAAAAAAACAAAATGAAATCCCAAGTGTGTATGTGTGTGTGTGTGTGAACACATACACGGGCACATATACGTAGTTTTATAGAGAAAATAGAAGGGTAGATAGATACTGTTCTGTTCACAGTGGTTATATTTGGAGAGGAAAATTGGGGAGATATGGGGGATTTCCCTATATTCTGTAGTATGATTTGAATATTTTTGAGAGATTAAACCTAGGTATTATGTAATAAACAAATTATCACTGAAGAAAAATAACTTAATTTTTGGCTTTTATGTTTTGTTAGGATTGGTCCAAAAGAAGATTTTTTCCACTGTTTGAAATGTAACTTATGCCTTGCTATGAATCTCCAAGGAAAACACAAGGTATGTAATTTGAGTTTGTGTCATTTTAATAATTTTTTATTGTGAACCGAGTGATAGTTTACATGGAGGACATCAGCTTTACACCATCGTTTCATTGCAGTTATTATAATCTCCATGCATCATCATTCAACAGTGCTTGCTTCCATTCCCTCTGTTTTTTCTTTTTTTGGGGGATGAGGTGGGGTGGAGAGATGTACACAAACACACTCAGGAATATATAATAATTTAAACAACCTAAGGGCACATTATGCAAGCCTGCCTCTTGGCCACCAGTGTAAGTCCCTCTCTAATTTTTAAAGTATTACAATGTTTTTAAAACTAGCTTAAATCTTAATATGTTTTGAAAGCATGCTACTTTTCAGATATTACCAAGTGCAACGATGTCACCTTTTAAAAGGCAATACCATAGTACATATTCAGAAGTATTGGCCTCAGGATGTTTGGTGTACACATTTATTTATTATTTTGTAAGACTATTTCTGTCAGTTGCTAGCATGATGTTGGAAACTTCTAAGTTTGTTGTGGACTTTTATAATTGGTACTTGTTTTAAGGATAACTTTAACAATACATATTGTTGTTAATTGCCGTAGAGTTGGTTCTGACTCCCAGCACCCTGTATAGGGTTTCTGAGGAACAGCTCGTAAGTTTGAACTGCTGATCTTGCTCATCAACCAAGCTTGTGGTCAAGTGCTTATCCTATAGCTCCACAGCAGTGCACACGCACACACATAAAATGTCAACTTTTTTTGTCCTCACCACAACATTTGCACCTCACCAGCTTGACGATGCCACAGATTTTCAGATAAATTATGATTCTAGAGTTGTTAAAATGTGATAGTATGAAAAATGTCCTTTAGAGTCAACAAAATATATATTAATTTTATTTTATAAATAAGGAAAATAAGGTTGAAGAAATGATTGCTTGTCCAAGGTGTTAAGGGTTAGTAAGTGGCACACATGGGCTTACAATCCAGATATTTAAATTGACTACTTTCAAATTTCCCTCCATACCGTATACTCTGTTGTCTTTTAAAAACTATGTATTTCTCCTGGTTTTTGTTTTTTCTCAATTGTTACCTCACTTTATTTAGCTAGTGGTCATGCTGTCTACTCAAGTGTTTACATTAAAAACCTGGTCATTGTTGTTAAGTGCCACTGAGTTGCTTCTGCCTCATACTGACCCTATATAGGGTTTCTGAGACCTTAAATCTTTGCTGGAGCAGAAAGCCTCATCTTTCTTCCACGGAGAGGCCTGTGGGCTTGAACCACAAACCTTGTGATTTGCAGTCCAGTGCTTATCATATGGAGCCATTTACGCTCCCTTGGCAGTCCAAAAAACATTAAAAAACAAGGTACAAGAACCTAGTTGTCAAGTTAGAACTGACGAGTCTGCTTCCTGGAGCTCTTATTTATCCCCACCTTTTGTTAGTGTGTAAGTTTGTAAGTTAAACGGGATAATAATTATACCTATTATAGCTAACTTCAGATAATGAGTAAGCATACAGTATGCAGTAAATCTCAATATGTCTTGACTCTGAGTCAGTTTCCTCATCTTTAAGATGGAAATAATTAATTTCAATACTTAAGATTTATTGAGTGTTTTCATGGTTTCAAATAATGTGCGAAGCCTGAAATAGTCGTGAGACTTAAAGAATAACAATTAAAAATA